TTTATTAAATAAAATCATTTACTTAGAAAGGATTTACTTGTAGAAATCCTACTCTCTCAACGAGATGACATAGAGAGAAAACTGAAGAAAATATTATATTTTTGTCATGTTTATCTTATCTTTCTTTTAGCTCCTAGTTTTCAGGTAGCGTATCTCGTTTCCTTTTATACTCCTTGTATCTTATTTTTAAACTCTTGGCCGATTGAATGAATGTATCTGGAATCACATTGATCCAGTTAAAACCCTAAATTTCGTCTTCTTTATGATATCGGAGCGGGTCCTCTGATCCGCTGAAGATACAAATCGTGAGCAGCCATGGCAGGACCAGATATCACCACCGAAGGCAGCGGGAAAGACAAACCAAAAAACCCCTCGTCTGATCCCGATTCACCTTATTACATTCATCCCACTGATTATCCTCGTCAAATGCATGTAAATGATAGTCTGAATGATAATAATTATGCGGATTGGTCTCGAGAGATGAGCGACTTTCTTGTTGCTAAAAACAGAGTAGGTTTCATTGATGGGACTATTCCCAAACCTGCAAAAGATTCCCAAGAATACAAATCACGGCAGCGCAGCGACGCCATCATCAAAGGATGGATTACCACTGCCATGGAGAAAGAGATTAGGAATAGTATAAAGTACACCACAACAGCTAGACAAACCTGGGAAGATCTCCAAGAACGATTTGGAAAAGAAAGCGCCCCGAGGGCTTATGATCTCAAACGAAAGCTCACCAACATGAGGCAAGAAAATCTTTCTGTTTCATCTTATTTCACTATGTTAAGAGGCGTATGGGACAAGATTAAGTCAGTTTCTCCTTCGCCAACCTGCACTTGCAACAATTGTTCTTGTAATCTGGGAAGAAGACTCATGGAGGCAAAAGAAAAGGAGCGGGTATACGAATTTTTGATGGGGCTTGATGATAATTTTGGAACCATAAAAACTCAAATACTCAGCACCAAACCCATGCCAAGTCTGGGTGTTGTGTATCATCTTGTTGTTGAAGATGAACATCAAAAGAGTATCAGTGCCACAAGGAAGCCAACAGTGGAAGTCGCTGCCTATCAAGCTCGAACGACACAAAGTCTCGAAACAAGTTTTTCTGATACACGCATCAGCCGCGAAGGATTAAAATGCAAACATTGTAATAAAATTGGTCACACTATCGATGACTGTTTTGAAAAGATTGGGTATCCATACTGGTGGGAAAGTCGACCAAGAAAGACAACCAGTGAACAAAAGAAGACTATAAAGGGAAAACCCAAAGATGTTGTTGTCGGAATAGAAGTTAGCCCCATACCAGGACTAAGTGTCGAGCAATACAAGAAACTAATTCAAAAATTAAGTGACAGTCCTAAACCCGTAATCAACATGGCTGGTAAGATCTTCTTTCATCAACCATGGATTATAGACTATGGTGCCACCGAACACATTGCTAGCAATGATTCCATATTGACCAGCTTGAAGGAATCACAAGATGGAGTTCCTTTTAACATACCAAATGGTGACATGGTTCCTGTTAAAGGAATAGGGAGTGCTTGTTTACCTGGCAATCTAAAAATCAATGATGTTCTTTATATACCGAATTTTAAATGCAATCTTTTGTCGGTTAGTAAAATCACCAAGAATCATAATTGTTTTGTAACATTTTTCCCAGATTTTTGTTACATACAGGACTTACATTCGAGGAAGTTGATTGGCATGGGGAGGTGTAAGAATGTTCTATACAATATGGAAGAAGTGGAGGATAAGAACAAGGCGATGGCAGTTAAAGTTGACACAGAGATTTGGCACCGGAGGTTGGGACATGCTTCAAATTCTAGATTACAACATATTAGATTTATAAACAATTTAGGAAACTTTGACTATTGTGATTCATGTATTCGGGCCAAACAAACCTGAGTACCCTTTCAAATTAGTTCTATTAAAACAATCTCTCCTTTTGATCTTATTCATTGTGATATATGGGGAGGGTATCATGTTCCTTCACTCTCTGGTGCACGATACTTCTTAACCATTGTGGATGATTATAGTCATTCTACTTGGGTCTATCTATTGAAACGTAAATGTGATGCTACCTCTACTCTTATTGCTTTTTACAAGTTGGTTGAAACTCAATTTGAAAAGAAAGTCAAAAGGATTAGAAGTGATAACGAGGGTGAGTTTGTCTCGAATAATCTGCTCAAATTCTATGAAGAGCATGGCATTGTGCTCGAAACCTCATGTGTTCACACCCCGTAACAAAACGGGGTTGTTGAGAGAAAACATAGACGCTTGTTAGAGATAGCTAGGGCTCTTCGTTTCCAAGCTAGCCTTCCCATCAAATTTTGGGGAGAGTTTATACTCACGGATACTTATATTATAAACAGATTGCCCTCTCGATTAGTTAAGAACAAAACCCCGTATGAAATTTTGTTCAGAAACAAGCCTAAATATGACCACATGAGAGTTCTAAGTTGCTTAGCTTATGTGAAAGAAAATAAAGCAGGAAATGATAAGTTCGAAGAAAGGGGGAGACCTTGTGTTTTCATCGGTTATCTACAAGGACAAAAAGAGTATAGAGTTTTCGACATTGAAAATAAAAAAATTCTTGTTTCTAGAGATGTGAGGTTCATTGAATGTGTCTTTCCTTTCCAAAACCATGACAAGGACAAAGTTGGTTTACAAGAAAAGGATGAGACTCTCTCGAGTAGTCTTGATGATTTGTATGAGGTTCCAACCACAGCTAACCTCGGAGGCCTTGACCAAGATAATGACACCGACTCATCACCTTTCGGCAGCCTTCCGATGCCTTCCGCTGATCCACAATGCAACCCAAATTCAGTTGCTACCTCCATCGGTCCAGAGACAGCCCAAGCAAGTGAGCTCAATGTTGATCCCCTTCAAGGCAGACGCTCAGAACGAACTCGAAATAAACCAACTTATTTGCAAGATTTTGAATTTGGTCTGCCACCTTCCATAGACCATTCACACTCCAATGACAATCTGGCTTCCTCGACGGTACATCCTTTATCTCATTTTGTATCTTATAAGAATTTTACTAACTCGCACAAAGCTTTTTTGGCTTCCATCTATTCCCAAGATGAGCCCAAGCATTTTTACCAGTCAGTCAAAAGTCATCATTAGAATGCTATGAAAAAGGAAGTTGAAGCTCGTGAAAAGAACAACACGTGGGTGTACAAATTTGCCTCCAGGAAAGAAAGTCGTTGACTCAAAATGGGTCTACAAGATTAAATACAAGCCGTCTGGAGAAGTGGAGCGATACAAGGCCAGACTTGTTGCAAAAGGCTTCACTCAAATTGAAGGTGTGGATTTTCATGAGACTTTTGCACCAGTGGCCAAGCTTGTGACGGTACCAACCGTGTTAGCTGTTGTTGTTCAGAAAAGGTGGGCTATTCATCAACTTGATGTGAATAATGCCTTCTTACATGGAGATCTGCATGAAGAAGTGTATATGAAAGTGCCACAAGGGTTTGCGAAAGATGGAGATACCAGAGTTTGTCGTCTCCAAAAATCATTGTATGGTTTGCGCCAAGCTTCGCGCAACTGGTATAATAAATTTACAAATGCTCTTCTCGAAATCGGTTTTAAACACTCTAAAGCATATCATTCTCTTTTCATCTTCAAACAAAAGAGTATTCATGTTTTTGCTCTCATTTATGTTGATGATGTTATTCTTTTGGGAAATGATGAACAACGGATAGCCAACGTCAAGACTTTTCTTGACAACAAGTTTAGTATAAAAGATTTGGGTCCCTTGAAATACTTCCTTGGAATTGAGGTTGCTCGGACGCCTGACGGAATGGTGCTTAGTCAAAGAAAATATACCTTGGACATTTTAGCAGATAGTGGTATGGAAGGTTGTAGGTCGAGTTCTTTTCCTATGGAACAGAACATTCGTCTCACTACTGAAGATGGATCTCCTTTAGTTGATGTTGGGAAGTATAGACGACTGATTGGTCGTCTTCTTTATCTACAAGTTACTAGACCCGACATCACATTTGCTGTCAACACACTTAATCAATTTGTTTCTACTCCACGAGAGACTCATTGGAATGTTGCTCTTCGTGTGTTGCGTTATCGTAAAGCTACTCCTGGTCAGGGTATTTTTCTTCCTGCCAAAGGCGATTTAACATTGAACGCCTATTGTGACTCAGATTGGCTTGGTTGTCCTTTCACAAGACGATCAAAGACCGGCTATTTTATCACTTTAGGAGGTGATCCTATTTCTTGGAAAACTAAGAAGCAATCTGTTGTTTCGCGTTCTTCTACTGAAGCCGAATATCGGTCTATGGCAACAACAGTTAGTGAAATTGTGTGGTTGCGTTGGTTACTTCAAGATTTGGGAGTTGTTCAAAGGCTTGCCACAAAACTTTATTGTGATAACCAAGCTGCTCGTCATATATTAAACAACCCTGTCTTTCACGAGCTCACCAAACATGTTGAAATGGACTGTTTTTTTTGTTCGTGAACTGGTTGATACTGGTCAAATTTTACCAGCTGCTATTCGCACTAATGATCAAATTGCAAGCATTTTTACCAAACCACTTGAAACCGAAAGATTTGGTCTATTGCTTGGCAAGATGGGCGTTCGCGACCTGCACACTCCAACTTGAGGGGGAGTGAAGAAAATATTATATTTTTGTCATGTTTATCTTATCTTTCTTTTAGCTCCTAGTTTTCTGGTAGCTTATCTCGTTTCCTTTAATACTCCTTGTATCTTATTTAAACTCTTGGCCGATTGAATGAATGTATCTCTGGAATCACATTGATCCAGTTAAAACCCTAAATTCCGTCTTCTTTAAAAACTTTAGAAACACACATATATAATAATAAAAACATTGATAACATATGTTATAACATTTACGTGATCTGAGTTACCCATGGGTGTGATAAGATTTACACGTCCCTTTCTTGAAGTTCACTAGAAACGAGTTTTCGTCCCCTTAAAAAAACAAGCCACCTTCACTTCTAGTACCTCGTCACCATACTCCTTACAAAGCAGTCTTCACAGTTGTCAAGAATAGTCCCTCATTACCTACACTTAACCATATCAAGTTAAAAATGAACCAACAAACTACCATTTGGCTAGCGGCGCAGCTTGTTGCCCGTTTGTCTTCAATCAATATGTATTGAACAATAAATGCTTAGAAATTATACGTACAAACTACCATTTGTTAAGTTTGAGAAATAGGGTCAAAACATGTAATATTTCAACAAGATTTTACTTTGAATTATGATCCATGTAACCATAGAAATTAGATATATGATAGTTGTTTTTGATTCATCACTTTTATATTTATTAATAAGTACTTCAAATATAATAAATTTTCTATTAAACAAATTAATGCTCAACAAAAGAGCGTGCTAGTCATTCAAAAGTCAAGGATTAACTTTTAAAGTTAGCAATGGGCTTCCAAGATAAAATCCGTATCGACTATGTGGTGGACTTTCTTAGGAAAATTAAATTCAGTTATCATTTAGCTTTAAAGCTTTTAATTGTGAGATAAGTTATTATGTAATTTAAACATTTTCAATTGTTAGATTAATAGTTCAATACATATCGGTTGAAGGCAACGGACAACAAGCTGCGCCGTTAGCCCTTTCAAAAAAAAATCATCTGATTTCTTCACCTATTAAAAAAAACATAGAATTTAAATTTAATTTTAAGGTGCACATGAAAAAACTGCAAAATTCGATCAAACTTATCATAATTGATTAGTTAACATATTGGTTTATTAAAAATTTATATCGTATTGAGTCTGTGAAAATCATTTATAGAAATTGAAAAGTTTTGGTGCGAAACGTTAACATGTTGATTAGAGTTAAAGTGTAGCAAATTAGTTTTTTATGTCAATTTAAAATACGCACATAAAAATTGGATAATCTAAAAATTCAGTTTCCAAAACCAGTTTTTTATGTCAATTTAAACCAATCCAGATTGTAACACAAGATCCCTCATTTTACCTCTAAAACCGGTTAAGATCCGATCCATATTCATTAAAACCAGATTGTATAATAAATCAAGAAATCCGAACCGGACAGTAATCTGATTTTTTTGCGACCCTAGATCCTATATTCTTGTAAGATATTCACTTAACACGAATGGAGTGTGAAGTTATATAAAAAGAAAAAATTTTAATCAGATATTAAAAAGTAACTCCTATGTTGAACCATACTGATGGTCGAAATTCGGCAGTAATAGGCGAAAAGAAATGAGAGTTTTGCTCATTTGTCGAATCATTATAGCATATATTTACATGGTTTTGCTATTAAGTAAATCATACTTGAGTTAGAATAGAAAACAATATTATTGCGTATGGAATCGAATGATTATACAAAAAGAAAATCGTCTAAATGCGATTTCTTTCTTTTTTTGCATATAAACGTCTACAATTACTTGTGATTATTGGTACTATTGATTCATTAGCTCTGGGGATGTATGACTGAACGACCCAACAACGATAAGATGCAACCATATATATATATATATATATATATATATATATATATATATATATATAGAGAGAGAGAGAGAGTCAAGATCAAATAAGAAGAAAATTTTTGGTAGGAAGGTAAGACATTTTTTATATACATATTTTTTTTGCAAAAAAACGAAATGAATCATTAAATGATTCAAGAGTAAAATGTTTCACAAGAAAAAAAATCCGAAAAAAACATCTTCATAACAAATTTAGTGAATATCAACAAAATCATCGTAAAAATGAATCATTAAAATGTTTTTTCGGGATTTTTTTTGGTGAATCATGTTATTATTGATTCATCTAATGATTCATTTGTTTTGTTCGCCAAAAAGATAAGCCGAAAATAATTTAGGCATCTTAATTTTTATCCGACTGTTTAATTAGCTTCTGAAATAATTTAGCTATCTTAATTTTTGACCGTTTAAAATATTCATTGTTTACCAATCGCCCTATTTTTTTAAAAACACAAAAATAAAAAGACCACTAGATGATAATTATAATAATAGTTTTTTATTATTATTATAATAATAGTTTAAAATTGAATTAAACAAAAAAAAATAGTTGATAAAAATACCGACATTTTATAATTAGCGTAGTCATACCAAACCAAGAGTACTCTCCACTAGCGATTAGGGACGAAAGTGGATCTCAACCCGATCCAGATGGACCGGGACCCGGAAAACACGAAAACCAGTTAACGAGATTTGTAGGACCAAAAACTAGATCAATATATAGGAACTGGTTCGGTTCAATTCCGGATAAAGTGGGTCTAAAACTGAAAAACCTGAAAACGTTAAAGTGGGTCGGGTAGAACCGGATAAATGGGTCGGATAGAATCGGGTAAAATGGTCTGGAACCCGAAAACCTGAGAAAACCATATTCTTTTGGTAATTACTTAGTCGGTTGAACTTTAAAAGTTTTCAGTTTTGATATCCCGACTTCGGAGGACCGTAAATTATTGAATATTAAACCAAAAATGACAAAATTATAGTCTAAAATCATGTACAAACTCTAAAGTACACATTGGAAAAATCTGTATGCTAATCCGAGTTCAAACAAAATAGATATCCATGTTTTAAAAAATTTATAGAATACAAAAAAAAAAAGCTGAAAAATAAAAAAATTCAGCTTTGATATACCGACTTTAGGGGATTTTAAGTCGATGAGTATAAAATCAAAAATAAGAAAAAAATTATAGTCTAAAATCATATACAAACTTTAAACTATGCTAATCCGACTTCAAACGAATGAGACATGTATGTTTTAAAGTTTTTACAGAAATCAATCTGGTTCTTAAACTCAGTTTACCCGGACCCAAAGGCCGGAACCTAGATAAAGACATTCTTTAAACACAGAACGTGGACCGGTTCTATATATTTTGTTTCTAACGATTCCGATTCCGGTTCCAGTCCGCATCTGTTTCTGATACGGTTTTCCGGTTTTACATCTCATCCCTACTTTCGATAGCTACTAACTTAAATTATAGGTTTTATTTGTATAAGGTTTGACAAATGTAGTTATAGGTTATTGAAAGATGTAAAAATACATTAAAATAAATAAATAAATAAAAAGTTAAACTTACTAAAAACTCTCAAAATCTAGCTTTTAGATTTGGGATTTTTGTTCTAAAATAAAAAATTTAGGCTCCTTCTTTCAAACCAAGCTTTTTCTTTTAAGTCATGTTAAAAATAAAAAATAAAATAAAATAAACAAAGAACTCTTTAAAAAAAAGTTTCCAAACACACCCCAAGTCTATTTCCCAATCTAAAGATTTTTTTTGCTTTGGGGACTAAAACTTCAAGGACTACTCTCTATAACGACATTCACGTCATTTGCACGTCATTGTCCCATACTTTCGTATACAATAAAAAAATCACAATTTATGTCCCATCGACATCATATCCAATATCAGTCCAATTCATGTCAAAAGCAGTATCACCTATTCTGTTTTATCCCAACATGTTCTAAAAATGAAAAGCTTAATGTAAAAAGTCCTCATGTAAGGTTTTTACCAACAATAGTTACACATCATGATGCAAAAGTTCCATACATTACAACATAGCACAAACAAATACACAGACTCGATACACACACACATAGACGTATATATGTGTTTGTATCTACATATAGTTCTATCCAACATTAAATGTTTAGCCGATTGGTTTTAAAAAAAATTAGAGAAAGAATAGGTTTAGAGAGTACCATTTACGCGAACATGATAAGGTGGGCCCCGACAAAAGATGGGTTCATCAGGAGAAGAGGATCGAGCCCGAGCCCTTAGAATTTCATTGGGATCGTCAATGACTGCAGCAGCCAATAGTGTGTACTCACCCGGGACAAGAAAATACAAACTGAACGCATGTTTAATTTCTTCAAGTGGAGGAACATCCACCTTCATCCCACTCAAAGCACCTACCATAAATACAACACGTGTTAAAATCAAAAAACATAAATGCATTTCTATAATGGGTAAAATGTACTTACCAGACCAAAGTACAGCAGAATTAGTCCCTTCAATGCAGTTTTCACCAGCAACATCTCTACACGTAATACTAAGACTCATACTGATCAAATCCTTGGTATTATTCCTCACCATAACTTCCATAGGTGTCATCTCATGTGCCAGTACACGACCTTGACCTTGGTCAACTTGGTCAACGTGCCGGAAACTAAAAGTCAAAGGATCGGGCAGCAAAACATCCATGACCGATGTCTGAAGGGCAGCCTGAGTAGCATCTTTAATATGCAACTCTCCGGAACTATTCCTTCCGGAAACCCACCTAACCTTAATTTTCGAAATCAAATCCTTTATGGACGCGTTGACTTCCGCTTTCTTGTTTGACTTTGAATTCGTTACTAAAAAGGAACCATCAAGAATCGGTAGCTTAAAATGCTCCAATGGGATTAATACTCTCGCAGTGTAGTCTCGATCGATTCTTGTTTTTGGGTAATCGAATTCGGATGAATTTTGGTCAACGTTTTCGAGGTTGACCGAGACACCGACCTCGAAAACAACATCGGTTGGGTTTGATAACTCGAGTTCGAGAAAACGTAGGCCCCAGCTGCCTCTGTAGGGGTCGATTTTGACTAGCCGATCTGTGTGTGTGGAATTATCAGAAATTTGTCCCACATGAGCAGGAATTTCCATTGAGAGTAAGCGAGCTTTTACAAAAGATAACCCTTGTAAGACACAGATGTTTAAAGGTGTCACAAGGCGGCGACCCGGTGGCAGGAGACCGGTGGTTGCTGGCGGCTCTTGGTGGTTCTCTGTGGGACCTGAGGGGAAAAGACGTTAATTCCCTCAAACACAATTATAACATTGTATGGTGAAAAAGTAGAAAAAATTACCTGCATAATGGATCAACAACATCGGGCTACTTGAATCTTTCATGGGCCTAGACCCATCAAGATCCGCCAACCCAAGTTGCCAAGCTTTTAAAGTAACCGGAATCGTCACTTCCGCCCCTGGCTTCAACGGAAGTGCTGATTCCAACGCCTCCGACCCAATCGAAATCACCGATTCCTGATTCTTCCCTGATAACGAAACATGTGCTTGTTCAACCGCAACTGTTCCCGCATTCGCAATGCTAATCCAAACCTCGCGGATCTCGCCTTCGTACAAAATCACCGCCCCATCGCCGCCGACAGTCCGCGACACCAGCAACGGAAGCGATGGCACAACCGTAATACTTGGTACATTCGTGTTTTTCACCTTCCCGTTCCCGGACCCGCAACACCTAAACGGGTCGGAAATCACGAGACCTTGTTGAGCTCCGAGGAGTAAATTGTCGACGTCTTTGAAGAAATGTTCGGTGACGACACCGAAACAGTGAACGATGCATCCCGGAATGGAAACAGGCCCGGTTTTGGTTGGGATTCCGGAGAGGGTGATGACTTTGGAGGAATTGGGAGGGAGGGTGACGGTGATTGGAAAGGAATCGAAGTTTCCGGAGTGGACTGATAGGTATATGGAGTTGACTAAAAGGTCAAACCCGCATGGGTTGGCTAATTCGACCAGAACTTGAACGGGTTCACCCACGACCCAAACGAGGTCTTGTTTTGTGGTGGTGGTTTGATCGCCTTTGGTGAAAGGTGTGTAGATGAAGGGTCCAGATGGAGCGGATCCAGCCCACCAATCGGGTCGACCCGGTGTTCGTTTTATTATGTCCATTTGTGATGGGTGTAGAGGAAACGAATGCAACCTTACAAAAGGTAAGGCAGGATCAGGACAATGAGTTCCAGAAGGAAGCCTTTCAGCAGAATTATTAAGTGCAGTTGCAAGACCATTTTGGCCTGAAGGTGTAATTAAAGGATAATAAGATCTTAATAAACGTGCTGCTGCACTCCATGCAGCAAGAGGATCTCCAGCACGAACAGCCGAGAGAAGTATCTCTTTTAAAACAACCATCTGTAGAGTGCTCCATTGTGACTCAAATAAAGATACAACCAATTCATGATTCATCTTCCCATTATCACCAATACATGACCCGGTATCCTTGTATAAAGTACAAACAAACCAAAATGTAAGCAAGTTTAATATTTTAAAAAGGGGATTTGAATTTGAATTTGAATTTGAATAAAAAGTTAAAAACTCACTTTGGGAATGGATGCGCGACTTTGAACACGATATGCTTTTGTAGTAAGTGCTAACACTTGCATGGCACTAATAGCAGCTAAACTGTTTTCTTGTTGTAAATATAACTGAGCCACTTGTCTGGAGAAAAAGGCAGCTTTTCTATGGTAACCAAGAGTTCCATATAAACGAGCTATTTCAATGTATAATATCAGTCTATCACTTGCATCTATCAAAGATTTTGCTCCATCTGCTGCAGCAGTCAAAAGGTCAACCACCTCCTTAGCCAGCTCACGTCTGTCAATCACAACAATTTATCATAATTGGGTAGATTTTTCAAAATACCAAGTTTTACAAATCTACCTGCATAGAAATCTTGCCAATTTCAAAGTAGCTTCCAGTTCAAAACTGAGGGGTGAAACCCTGTAAAGAATAAAGAAATTAATTTAAATAAGATGTTACTCATGTGGATAACTTGTAAGGAGCTATCTATCTACCTTTGAGCATTGTCTTGTATAAATGACTTCCTGTAATGCACAATGACACTGTTGTAACGATACTTGACCTCCTCCTCTATAACTGGATCCCTATGAACTGCTTTATCCATCTTATACAACAGAAACACAAAACATTCATATGTTACACAGCATACTTGGGTTTGCTTTGTATATAAATAAACATTAAAACGTAACCATGTATTTTAAAGGACATACTATGATTGATCCTTTGATATACTCACCAGCAAAGCACAAACACCACCTTCCATTGCACCAGCATACCAAAAGTAATCCCCAGTAAGTCTGGCAAGTTCTAAAGCTGTAGAATAATGAGCATTGGCATCAACAGGTGATCCAGCTAGTAAACAATAATCTCCAATTGTTTTCTGTGCTCTTCCAAGTCTCCTCTTTTTTGCTTTGATCACCTGAAATATAGTTGTGAAAAAGTTGTTTAATTTCCATTCTTGAAGCATGTACTTCATAATTCAATGTTTATAGCTTTAAGACAAAAGGGGGAGAAAAATTTAGCAATTATTCAATCATCAGGACACCTAAAACATAAACCTCCTCTGAGCTGAGACTGGCTTGAGAATCTAAAGGTGTCTTCAGAATTATTCCACCAGATTCTGGTCTGAGAACCCATTTTTCAAACTCCATTAGAAGTGAAGCAGCAATCTCTTGCATCATTGTTTGCAGGTGAATTTCTTGAGTCCTCTGGTCAGCAGGAGGAAACAAAACCAATTTATTTTTGTTGTTATTCCTGTCTGCTAGCTGCAATATAAGATAAACAACAACAAAGGTATCATGTTATTAGGATAATTTCTTGGAAGAATAGGATGACAATTAGCAAGCAACTATGAAGATTGGAATATATATGTCGTGGTGCAATTGTAACAAATACTGCAAGACGCCTACACTCGTACAAAGGAAGAAGAAACAGTAGGAAAAGGAAACACACGGAAGCTAATGATTAAACGTTGTTCAAGAGCTGAAAGTCAAACAATGAAAGGCAAGAAGTACAATTCAAAACCAAAAGCATTACAATTCGGAATTCTACTAAGTGATCTACTCTCGTGAAATATCCATAACGTAATTGAACTGGATATTGATATAAAATTATATAAAACTTAGGGAAAATCGGGAAAATAACCTGTGTATCTCCAGGGGAAAAAACGAAACACCTTTGCACAACTGAAGATGAGTATCCTTTACAAGCCATAGCGAATTGCTCAGCAACACTGCCTAGATCAGGAGAAGACGGACAATGACAGATTCCGATAACGCCGTGAATTTTGCGGTTTGATTGGAAATCCTCCCATGGACTCGGCGGCGATCCGCCTACAATGAACTTGAACCTTAGACTACCGGATTCCCATGGCTGTTGAGAGAATGGAGATTTTTGGTCAGCTTTGTAGAAATCAGTGATAGTTGAGAGTTCGATCTTGTGGTGGCGGCCGAGCATCCCGGCGTATTTGCGGAAGAGGTGCAGGTGGATTTCTCCGACAGGGAGGACGGCGATCCGGATCATGGAACTGGTTTCGATGCTGACATCTGGCTCCATTGTTGTTTTCGCCGGGAAGAAAGCAAAGGGTACCGAGAGTTCAAGCCGGAGAAGGGAGGAGGGGCGGTTGACAGTAGAGTGTGTGGTTTTTTCACTTCAATATTTAGATCGGTTGCGGTGAAATTAAGAAATGGGAATGAAACCCTCTTTTACCAAACTAGTCCATGATGGTGTAACAAACATTCACTTGAAGTCCTTCACCTTTTTAAACTCTCCTTTTAATCCCTATGGTTGGCAAAATAGTTAGAATGTACCATACTTTTATTTATTTTAGTAAAACTAAAAAAATGTTCAATACGGTACGTATCTTTATTTTTTTCGAGTCAACAAAAATAACTTTTTGAGAGATGTTTTTACAATAGGTTTTGTTATGGTTTTAATCCTTAGAGTCCTCTGGTTTAAGATTTATAAAGTTATTATCAATTTTTATCATTAAGTTATAATTCTTTATATTATCCGACACGATTAACCTCATCATTATGGTAACAACTGACATGATCCCCTTCTACATTAGAATAAGAGAATGTGATTTTATGTACACGACACAACTAGGACGAGCGACTTTCAACCAAAAATAGTCTTTTTCTCGTTCTATACGATTGGGTGTATTTTCTGGTTAGCCCACGGAAAGCACAAACGAATTGTGGAGACAACAAATTGGAACATGGAAGGTGAGATTAGTCATCTTCGTCACTCGAGAACATGGCGACAAGATTGGGGAATGGAAGGTTGTAACGCCCGTAGATTCAGTCTAGTCAATTTAAAGATAATAAGCGTTAAAATGACTTTTTGATAGAAGATTATTTTATTCAATCCGACTATTAACGAAGAAGTTATGACCCGCTAAAGTTTCGCGATTAAACCGACACGCATCCGCATATCGTAAAAGTAAATTTTTAACGAAATACTTTTTAGCCTTAGCGATCTAAACAAAAGTTGTAGTAGACGTTAAACCGAGAGCGTGCATATAGAGAACGTCCAAATCTGACTTCGTTAGAGGAAGTTATGATTTTTATAAGATTCAGCGTAGCAGTATACAGTCCGGAAATCGAATTTTAGATCGATCGAATATTAGCCGACACAACCTAAACGAGAATTAAAGATCTCGTTAATAGGAGTTCAACGATATAATGACAGTCGAAAACGGACATCGGAGGACAAAGTTATGAATTTTTAACGGACTTTAACTGTCTAACACTGTTAAAATATAACTTTAAAAATAAATCAAAATTAGCCGATGAAGTCTAAACGAAAGTTGTAGATCTCGTCGATACCTACGCATGGATATAAATAACGTCAAAAACGGAGCTCGTATGCAAAAGTTACGGATTTTAGAAGATAATTAATTTTCGGATTAACCAGCGAGTGACACGTGGCAAGATCTAGGCCACAACTTCTTCCCCACGGCTTGGAACGAGATTGCGACACTTGGACGGAGTACACCCAGCGTAGCTCGAAATACGCCCAGCGTACGCACTTCCTCCAACCTATAAATAGAGCTCGTTTTTCACCCAAAATCTCACACCTTCTCAACCAATTCTCTCCCAAACACCCCCAAGCCTCTAAGCCTTTCCCTAGCACCTCCTACGTGTTAGTAGCGAAGCCCCGGAGCGCCAGAAGGCCCCGAGAAGAAGAGCTTTCAGCTCAGAAGTTCTGCCCACACAAAGTCTGGTTTCTCACTAAACCACCAGTAAGTTGAGTTCTGCTTACCGTACTTTAAGTATAACTTATGTTTAAGTTCATTATCGTTATTATGAACCTATAAACAATATTTATCAGTGATTCAAATTCGTTATACTGATTGATCTACTTACGGGAGAGGTGTTTAGAATGGTCACGTTGGCTTGGTTGTTCGATTTCAGAAAGGCTATACGCTGAAATGGTCCCGCCTCCCAACTGTCTTGCCTGACTGATCCTTACTTGATAGATCTTAAAGTAGACTTTTAGTTAATGATGAATCTAGACTAATAATTAGTCGCAATAAATATTAGACTAAAACTTAGTGATAATGATACTAGGTTTCGTCAAAGGAAAAGACAATTGCTAGAAGCGAAGCGCTGCCCGAATTTCGAGTCATCACTTTAACATGTGAGTGCATAGTCCATTTCATGAACATGATTTTAATACAAGTATTAATTAAAGTATTAAATATAAGTTTATGCGTGAGATATTTGATATTGTCTCAACTACGTGTAACGCCCTGTTCCGAATCGATTCCTAATTCGAGGTTGTGGCCCGAAGATCGGTCGTTATAAGGATTATGGTCTTTGAAAAGGTGAGATCTAGGCTCATTTGGGTGCGAGTGATGTATTTGAAGTGATCCGGGTGTTCGGTTCGTGTTTTGGAGCCTAGGGGTATTTCGGTAGAGTGTTAGTTCGTGTTTTTGTGGAAATTGGATTTTTGTTCAGAAGGTCTTAAGGATGGTATGAGTTGATAGAAGTGTAGGGCTTCTCGTTACCTTTCCGTGGATATAAGGATCGTCGGAAACGGACTTATAACGAAGAAGTTATGGCCTTCTGAAGTTTGGTGGTTTTAAGGTTTAGTGGGGTATACGTGTAACATCCCGAAATTTCAGAAGTTCAATGAAGGGCCAAAAGTGTAAATAAAAGAAGGGACTCGACGAGTAGGTCTGCTTACTCGCCGAGTCGGAGTGGGATTCTGTCGCGGTTTAAGTGGCCAACTCGCCGAGTCGGCGGCTTGGACTCGACGAGTTGGTGCTGTAGAGAGAAAACCCTAATCCTGGGGGTTGTGCCCTATATAAAGAACATTATAACCCACCCTTAGCCTCTTTACTACCCTTTTGAGATCCAGAAACCCTAAAATCGAGTGAGCCTCCATTATTAGAGAGAATAGAGCTTTGGAGGAGAAAATCTTGGAAAGAGGCTTGAAGATCAAGAGGCTTGCTGCAAAGGAGTGGTGTAGATCCGGGATCTACTTCAGTTAGAGCTTATATTGGAGGTAATAATCTGTTGCTTGGGCTCTTTTGCATCTAGATCTTTTATCATTTGAGATTTGGGGCATTTTTGGTATGATTGAGAGCTATTTCGAGTTAGAGGCTTAGATCTGAGGTTTCTACCTTAGATCTAGGCTTGTGATGGTCCAAAATGTCATAAAGCTCCTGTCTAAGAGATATTGGTGAAGCCCCCTAGTCCTTAACCCTAGCCCTAGAGTGTTTTGGGCCTATATCTCCTTGGTTTCACGTAAAGTTTGCCACTTTATGTGAGGGTTAGACTGTAGAAGAGTGGATCTATGGATTGGAGCCCCTGCATGGTTCGAAAAGCCACTGTATGGATTGAGAACTGGAGAGACTCGACGAGTCACATGGGTGTACTCGACGAGTTGTATGAACATGTGCATGGACTCGGCGAGTTGGAAGAACAACTCGGCGAGTCTGTTGAAGATTGCCTTGGACTCGGCGAGTCTGGTCGCAGAACCCCAATCTCTTCTGGTTAAACCTCGAAGCAGTGAGTCGGGAGGTGAATTGGTAAGTTGAGTAGGATGGGACTCGGAGATCGTTGGACTCGACGAGTCTTGGGGTGACTCGGCGAGTTGAGTCGTGTTCTAAGATTTTTCAGAGTATAAGGACTCGACGAGTCAACGGGTTGACTCGGCAAGTAGAGTCAGTCATAAAGTTTGACTTTGGCCTGGACTTTGACTTTGACCTTCATGGGTGTTATGGTAATTGGTTATTCATGTCAATGGTCCATTGATGGCTATAGGTGTTGGAGTTTGGGGCAGTGCTTCGGGTTTGTGCTTTCGTGGTTCGGTTCTTCGTTCAGGTGAGTTATCCTCACTGTACTCAAGGGTCTAAGGCACCAAGGCCGACCCTTTGAATTGTTGTTTAGAGCTTGTTATGCTTATGTGGTGATATGCTTGCTAGTATACTAGTAGATAGGATAATGATATGATGTTATGCTCTGTTAGCTTAGTATCCTGGAGGATAAGGTAGTTAAGTGATGGCAAGTTTTGTTAGATCAGCACCCTGGTAGTTGGGTAGTGGTTATATTCATAGACCTGTAGTTGGTCTTGCCTTATGTACGCTGGTAGGAGGTTACCTGCGGGATTTGTATGTTGAGCAGTAGCAGAAGGCATTCCATCCCAGTAGGATGATAGGGCCCTAGTATGTTGGTTCTGTAGAGTGTTATGTGGTTGCCATTTATGTGTGCATGTTTGCTAATGTAGGGGCATTCCAACCCGATGGTTGTGGGCCAGGAGTATTCCATCCAGGTGGGATGATTGGACTCGTAGTAGGTTGGCATTCCAACCCGATGGTTGAGGGGCCTGGGGTATTCCATCCTGAGGGATGATTGGACCCATAGTAGTAGTTATTGTATGTATAGGAAGTGGGGCATTCCAACCCGATGGTTGTGGGCCAGGATTATTCCATCCCGGTAGGATGATTGGACTCATAGTATGTGGCATTCCAACCCGATGGTTGAAGGGCCTGGGGTATTCCATCTTGCGAGATAATTGGACCCATAGTAGTTATTGTTGTACGTATAGGTGTATGGGCATTCCAACCCGATGGTTGTGAGCCGAGAGTATTCCATCCCGGTAGGATGATTGGGCTCGTAGTATATAGGCATTCCAACCCGATGGTTGAGGGCCAGGGGTATTCCAACCGGAAGGTTGATTGGACCCATAGTATGTTGTTCTTTGTTGCATGCGTATGTTTATGTGTGTATAGGTACATTGGGGGAACTCACTAAGCTTTCGGGCTTACAGTTTCAGTTTATTGTTTCAGGTACTTCAGGAGATCGTGGCAAGGCGAAGGCGTGATCGTACCGCTCCTCATGCTTTATGATTTATGTGATATGGTTCTGGGGGATACTCTGATGTCTAAACTATTTTGAAAACAAGATGTATGAAGTTAATGGTTTTTGAATGAAATAAAATGTTTTAAATTGGTTGGAATTTTTGGGTGTTACAATACGGGGCGTACATAAAGGGTACGCGGGGCGTACTAGTAAAGAGAGCAGTACGTGAGGCGTACGTTGGGCGTACTGACCAGGATGGTCGTGGGTGCTCATCGGAGTACGTTGGGCGTACTCCAATCAGACCCAAACCCTATTTTACGGTCTTGGACCTTATTTAAGCTCCTTATCTCATAACCTAACCA